GAGACAGTAAAACACTTCCATCCCTATTTTGATTACTAGTGCAAAACTATGCATATGAAACAATATCAGAGTGCTCCATAATTCCGGGTGTGCGTATCAGACTGTATCTAGCAGTGTGAATACCTTTGTCTTTCTGCATTCCTGGGTGCTGGCGCTCCGCTGGGCAGACAGCAGAATCATAAGCCCAGTCATTGTGTGCGAGGGCCCTGGGGCTGGAGGGGGGCAAGGAGCTGGGCCTCTCACCAGCCTTCTGGAAAGGGACAGAGTCCGGCCCCGAGCCCGGGCCAGAGCCGAGGCCGGGGCCGGGCCGAGTGCCAGAGGGAGAGCAGGGGGCAGAGAATGCTCGCACAGTGCTACAGTGCACCGCGGCATCTTCATGCGTGCGGCCAGGGGAGGGCCTGTCCTGCCCATCCTGGCTTTCATCAGCCCCCTCCTCATCTGCATTACTGTCTGTGTCCATAGCCATGGAGGTGTCAGCCTGCAAAAACAGAAGCATATGTTCAATTCCCATCTTTTTGCATTTTAAAGCCGCAGACTCCAACAATAAACTGCATGATGGGATATGATATGTAAAACATCCAAGGTGGGTGCAGAGTTGAAACAAGCAACACAAGCATGTCCCTATATTCTGATGAATCAATAGAGATTAGAGCCTGGTGGTTGTCATAACTGAGGAGGAGTCCTGGGGGTGAAGGTGTCACATGAAAACATGCTCATATGCTGTCGCAATTTGACCGCTGTGGTGGTAAATTATTGCCTTTGGATGCCTCCTTCCCTTCCTGCGGTGCAGTGAGTGTTGTGTGCAGACAGTCAGGGAAGCCCTGCCACCACATATGCATTTACACGCAATTAAAAATATGTGCACGGGCTCCATGTTTTCTGACGGCATGCAACTTGGTGTAACACTCGCGCACTCGTTCCTTTCGTTGGCTCCGTTTCCCCCCTTTTCCCTTTTTTTTTTTTTTGTCGACGGCGCCCTGAGTGAGAAATTACCTTGTGTGCGACTGCGTGTCCAGGACTCAGCAGTGTCGAGCACAAGAGCGCACTAAAGCCCGCCCCGCGCCTGAGAGGAGCAGAGGCGCTGCTACGGCGTTTACCCACCGCGCTGCATTTCACACAACTTTCACCGAGGACACGGTCACAAAAACACGATGCCCCGGCACCACCACCACCCTCCCCGAGGACCTGCACACACACACACAAACACACACACACACACACGCGCGCACGACACGGTCTCCATCAGCCGATACGCGCACTGTGCGTCCCCGTGTTCAGAGGCCTTTATGACCGACCATTCAAACACACGGGAGAGAGCGTAAAGGAAGGGGCCGATGGGAGGCGGTTTCTTTTTTTTTTTTTTTTTCCTCAAATTTCCTCCAAAGTGCGCATGGAGTTTGGGGAGCCGCGGTAGAGACCTCGCCATTGTGTCTGTGCTCTTTAACGGATCGAGCGCTTCCCGGGGCCGAGCGGCGGCAAAGCGGCACCGGAGACAAAAAAAAAAACCCAGAGCTTTAACTCGACGGACGGATCAACACTCCGATCAGATCACGACGAGAACCCGTCGATTTTAGTCCACTTCGACTTTGCACCGGGTCAACGATTTGCAGCGACAGAAAGAGTAACGCAAAAAAAAAAAAATGAGTCCGTTATCGGACACGTCACTGCCCACATTTTTAACCCTCGTACTCGGGGAAAAGCTGCATAACAAGCCCCGGAGGAGACGCAGCCGCCGGCACAAAGTGACCAGGCGCTCGTTTTTTTTTTTCAATAAGCGACTGAGAACAAAGTCAATTTGATCTCAGCTTAACCCAAATCGGACAGACGCATCCGCCATCTAGAGCTGGACGAACAGTTTGCGGTCGCTTTGCGTTCACTTCAGCTCTCGCGCACGGTCGATTTCGCCACTTTACGATCATGCGGTTCATCTCAGACCGCTGTCAACGATCGGCTCTGACGGGCACGACTGAAGGTGACGTGCCGCTGCCGTGCGGGACGAGCGAGAGAGGCCACGGCGGCGGCTATAGCACCAAACGCGTTTAGACGTGACCGGGCTGTGGATCTAGGGGGTTCGACTTTATGCACTGCGTCTGCGATCGAGCATCGCTGCAGAAAACAGACGCAGTTTGCGAAGCGGACCAACGTGTATCGGGAGAACTTTAGCGTCGATGATCGTGGATTCGCTTCATGTTTTCGCAGCAGAACACAGTGATGGGCTTAAATTTAAAAGTCCAGACGGGAGGAGGAGGAGGAGGAGGGGGGGGGGACATCTCGTCATGGACCGATGGGATATAAAAATGCGTCTGGACGTGTTTCTGGCGACATTTTGCTGTCTGGCCTGAGATGACTGTCCTCAGCTTCCCCTTGATTCAAAAACAATCAAATGAAACAGTCAACAACCCAACAATGTCCCATCGTCCCCCCATCGGCTCCCACATCCGCGGTGTTTCAGACTTTTTTTTTTTTTTTCTCCCTTCACCCACTCCCACTGTGACAAGTGGCTGAGGACGAGCACGCGCGTTTCCCGTCAGGGCTCACAAAAATAAAAGCATCGTGGAGGAGAGCTAACTTGGATGCTTGTATTTTGATAGCATTTCCGGCTCCAGACTCATGCTTTCTTAATAAACTTGACCCCCTCCCCCCCGGTCCTCCTCCCCTTCGCTCAACGCCGAGTTTGGGGCTTGAAAAGCGCTTTCTGCCGCTGATAATGGAGGCTCGGGCTTTTTTTGTTTTTGCGGACGAACGGGACGGTGCAACTTTTCGTGCCCGTCTGCACCGGCCGCGGTGAAGTGCTCCTCCACCGGCGCCGTGTCAAATGTGCCACGCTCCCACTTCACGCGCACCTTCTGTTTTTTTTCTTTTTTTTTTTTCTCCTCCACCTCGGTAGCGCTCGAGCGAGGTCCAACCGCCGCTCCCCGTCTGCGGCAGTTTTTTTTCGGGTGCACTTGCAAAATCACTCCCCCCCTCACCACTCCCCGTGTGCAGACACACTGAAAACACACGTTTGAAATGAGAACCACACGCAGCCCGCATACCGAGCTCCTATCTCCACCTGTTAATGCGCCGTGATGTGATATGACAATGAGCCCCGGGGAAACATGTCTTCCTCGCGTCAACGTACCTCCAGGTCCTCCTCGTCCTGGTCAGCGGGACCGAGAGCGCTGTCCCCGTTGCTCAAGTCCGAGTGACTGGCGTCTTCCACCGCGCTCCGTCTCGCCGCCGCCGCTAACGTTACATCGTCCTTTTTGCGGCTCCTCCGCTGCACCTTGGCGGCGTTCCGGTACGAGACGGAGCCCTTGTAGTTAACTTTGAGCACCGTCTGCTCCTGGATCAGTTTCTCCAGCTCCGCGCAGGTTCGGTCGGGCTCGGACCCGTGTCGTCTTCGGACCATTCGGCAAATTCTCTCCAAGTCCGGCCGGGCTTTCCGCGACCGCAGCGAGTCGATGGTGTCCAGGATCCACTCTCGGTACTTGGACTCGGACATCTCTGCCCGCTCGGTTCTTTTCGCTCTTTTCTTCTTTGCTTAGTGCGTCAAGCCGTGTTCGTCACTCACTGTGTTTTTCGTGCGCCGCGGTCCGAGCCTGACTGAGAAGCGGAAACCTCGCTGAACGCCTCCTGCGTTTGCGTGTGCGCTTAAGGTGGAGCGACGGATTACAGCGAAAAGTTTCACTCGAGAGGGTGTTTTTTTCTTTTCATTTAAGGTGGAATGTGCAGTCCTGGATGGGGACGTGCGCGCGCACTCGGCCCCATGTGCGTCCCAATGGCTGCCTGAGGATTTCACTTTTTAACTTTTCAGTTGTTTTACCAAAAAGCTATTATTAACAACTGATGAAGCAGCTGGAGCTCCCTGCAGAGACGCTTCACTCTGTACATCTGAAGGCTTTAACTCATTTTAACAGCCTATGTTTTGTCAGTCACTTTGGATTTCCACATGCTGCCCCCTCACAATCTCAAACTAAAATGGATTAAGTGCACATGCAGTGAAGGGGTCATCAATGAAAGTAAAAAAGTAGTAAATCCAGTACTTGTCCTTATAAATACATGTGCTATACTTTCAATCACTGTTGATATTGTTCAGCATATTGGAGAAACAAATTATAATCTGATCAATGAAAAAGTAGTCCCACTAAACTCCAAAACACAGAATTGTAATCTGCAGGGATTCTTAAATGAAGGCCCCAAACACAGGGTCTAACACCATGAATATTTATTTGATTCTGTTAATAGGATTGTTAGAAGTGTGAGAGTAGATACAGTGTGTATTGTTAATTATGAGAGATTCATAAAAAAAGGTTCAGACTTATAAATTAATTTATATTTGTGTACACAGAGCTGTACTTTCTGTAGTTCATAAATCACTGTGGGTATTTTTTGGGTAAGGGTTTCAATACAGTATATTCAATACTTCAAATGTTATTCCATCCTCTAATATATACAACACTAGTTTTCTTAAATTGATTTACCCATTTAGTCTTTTCAATCTGATTCATTTATCATCCAATTGTCGACTATTGAATTCCCTCATTTTTAATTTTTGACGGATTAATTAATGAAGTGGTCTTTTACGTTATCTAAATTACTTTCAAACCGTCTAAAAGCCTCTCTGGACCCTTCACATATAACTGATGCATCCAGATGCAATCCTAAAAAATGAGGGTGTGGATAGTTTTGGAGAGAGGTGCTGAGAGCTGGCTGGTAACCAATGCCATACTGTGACAGGATGAACACAACACTGCATTATTCAATTGCACCCGCCAGCCTCCTAAAACATTCACAATAACTGACAAGACAGTGAAAATACAGCATCCGTCATTACCTACCAAAAACTGTGTTCCTCTGATCCAGCCATGACAGAAGCCTGAAGCTGCAAACATCTTCCTTCAGATTGTCATGTCATGGAAGAACATTTCTATTTACAAAATGTGGTTCACCTAATTGAGCCGTGTGTGATATTGTGCAAGTTGAAATGAGAGTTTATATATAACCCAGACATATTAGTCTTAACAAGTAAAACTTTATTGGAATGATACATTTTGCAAAATATTACTTTATGTATATTTTTTTAACATACTCATTGTGTTCTAAGGGTATCTGTCAAGTTCTCCAGAGGGTAAGATAGTTAAGACTGTCAAAGGCAAGGATATACAGTATTGTTTCCCAAAAGGTACAATAGACTACACAATCACTGTACCCAGGTCATGAGGAAAAGATTAATGTTCTGTTTTTGCTTTTTCTTTTTCTCACTTTTTTTTTGAAAATACAATTAGAAAATATGAACGCAAAACATCTCAGATGTAAAAAGTGTTATGTTTGAATGAGGAGTGTGTGAAAACCTGATGAAGACCAAAGGAAAACACAGGAGAGAAACTCAGGCCGAGCACAGATCAGTTGATAGTGTTTAGCTGATAAAAATAATTAAAGACAACTCACAAGAAGTTTTGAGTGGGGAAAAAAAACAAAAACAAGAAAAACAAAAACAGCATTAAGATGGTGGCATTGCCTTCTAGTCATTAGTCAGAACATAAAGATATTACATGTGCCCTCTTCAAAGCTTTACATTGTGTCTTTAAAGTTTTAAAGAATTAGCAAAAATCAATAAATAGGACATTTGAAAAAGTGTGTGGCATGTGCTTCACTATTTGCAAAAGACTGGACGAGTTGGTTGGTGATCCACTGCATTGCTGAACGTGATGCGTATGAATGAAAGGTTTAAATGGTGATGAGGCTGTCGGCTGTGGAAACTAAGCTTTCTCTAACGTCGTCTCAGCTTCGAAGGTGGGTTGAGGGGGGTGTCTTGCCATTGGGTTGCTTTTACCACATGCAAGAAAAACCAAGCTCATCAGAGAAATATGTATTATAAAGAATACACGTCATTTCCACACAGCATTGGACACATCTCCATCAGACAGTTCAAGACATTCAAAAAGGTTATCCTGCGTTTCATCTTAAATACATTAAAGAGACTCCCAAAAATAATTACTCAAGCCTAACCCGAATCATTTAGAGTCGAAAGAACATTCTCAGAAATTTCATGATACAAGATTTGACAAATAGAGTGATGCACATCAAACAGTTCACAGAAGCTTTTCAGTGAGATGGACAAAAGTCTAGCACCTAGGGGCTATGAAGGGTGGAGGAGGAGGAGGAGGAGGAGGGTTGGGTGGGGTGGGTGAAAGCAAACATCCTTCATCAAACCAAAACAATGTGTTCAGTCAACAAACCAGCAATAAGATTTGGTCTGTGATTGTCTTGCATCCACAGAAATAAACTTGGCAAAAAAAGGGGGACAGCGTTAGGAAAGCTTCCTTCGTTTAATTTGTTACATAGAAAGCTGGAAAACGAAAAAAAATGAAATGAAAAAAACCCACTCCAATCGTAGCGGTCCCCAAATTTTGGTTGGACTGCAAGTCTATGTGAATGTGTTATATGTAAGGTATATACAAGAGAAGGTGAGACGCACAAGTTCAGTGACTTTATCAGCAAACTGTCCTTTAAACTGAGTAGTGAACAAAAGCCAGAAGAACTTTCTGACATTTATCTGGGTCTTGTTCCATCTTCAAAACAGAGCAGCGGAGAGTCTGCTTTAATAGTTACGCATGTTATCCACCGTCTCTGGTACCTCAGCACGAGTACAGCATAATGCTATGCCATCTTTAAAAGTGATATTGTACAAAAATAACATGCACACTTTGTTGAAACATTTTGCTACTTTTTTGCGTATTAAAATCCACCACCGTCAGGTACATACAGAAAACTTTGCAGTGTTCTCAGTTTGCAAGTTTGGCAGAATTTATATTTGTTTATTAATGAAATTCTTAATTCAGTTTCACAGCTATGAGACAATGTGGAAAAAGATGGATATTTCATGTTTTCTATCATATATATATAGATATATATGATGTATAAATGTACTATGAATTAAATAAACAATAGTCAGGAGTGTGACCACAATGTTAGTTGCTGCTAAATCACAGCTTTTTAACCCACCCTTGAGCACTAAATAACACACAAGCACAGAGATTGACAAAAAAGAACAAAATGATCACCAATAGGATTTTCTTTTAAATGCTCTAATAAATTCAGCTAAGAGAAAGACAGATTTAAATGCAGACCTCATGTTTACCATCTCTTACAGGTCCCCAAAAGCAGTAAGACCCTGATGAAGTTTACTGTGATAAATCATTATCTCGCTGATCACAGAGATCCCCACTGCTTCAGCTGCGAGCAGTGAGCGCATCATCCTCATCTACCCAATAATCATGCCACACTGAGCAGACAAAGGCAGGCGCAGAGAGTTTTCAAGCTGTGAACCACAACGGGCACAAAGGCCATTTGCCACCATAGCCAAAGCTCTGCACCAATGCTTTCGACGCAGTTTTCCAACCAGTTGGCATTATGATAGGCACATCTGTTGGACTTGGTATTGCTTGGACAGATTCAGAATGGAGAGATGGAGGGGGGTGGGGCAGGGTGACAAGATACAACAATCGCTCCTTGAGAAGCTTGTAGAGAGGGCCCGTTCAGGAAAAAAAAAAAAAAAAAGGAAGCCTATAGCAGATTCAGTACCTTAACAGAAAAATCAATGCCTCAACCTGCAAAGACTTAAAACGTGTCATTACACCATCAGAAAGATACAAGTCTAGCTGAACAGCCACAACCTATGTCTGTTCTCCTCGAGCCACTGCCACAAACACAAGAGGGATAAATAAAACAAATAGGTAACAGTTGAGAAACAATCAGAAAAGGCAACACTGCTGGTTCTGCTGGATCTTTCTTCACTTTGCCTACATTTCCACTGGGGGGGATTTTACATTGTTGTCGTCATAACAAATAAGCAAGTTAGCAGTCCACCCTAGCGCTTCCTGTCTTCAGACCCCCTTTTACCTTCTAAATGCCTGTCTCTCTCGCTCTTTCTCTCACTCTTTCTCTCTCTGCTACTCATGGTTGGAATCTAGAACTCAGAAAACTCCTTTGCACACTTCTCTGTGAAGGAGACTCTGATTTCCTCTTCCTCGTAGTCGTCAAAGTTGCTCGTGTCGCCGGGGCCTTTGCACTTGGGAATAAAGGGAGCTTCCACCTGGAACACACAGGACAGAATCGATGAACGATGCAGTGTCGACTCATCGAGAGACTCAAAGCCACAGCATGCTCCATAATCAACTATGACACTATAAACAGTCCAAGGAGATACAGTGACAATTAAAAAAATGATTTGTAGTTGCACAAAGCATCTTAAGATGATTACAATGGAAGTGAGTGTTACACGATCGGAAAATCACGCTCAAATACTTGGAAGCCTTTCAATTAGTCTGCGGTCACACTGCAGGACGAATTTTGTGAGCACATGTTATCATTTGCTTTCCCTGAAGCCAAGTTTGTAAAGCTAGGAGCTCAGGAGTGTTGAAATACATCAAGATAAACAAATCTTTTTTTTTATTTGTCTTTTTAAATAACATATTCTTAGTGTTTTCTGTGCTTATAGTCTGTGTCTTTGTCAGAATTTAACTTTTGTTTACATACTGTGTGGGGGGGTGAGTTTCTGTGGTGCATTGTGCCTCAGCTTTTCCTGATGAGTCCACGATAAATGGAGGGGTCAATATGAATATGATTTTTTTTTACCTCTGCTTACCTCTACTTTGTTGGAGGTAAACCACCAAGCCGCGTTAATATATTGCTTTATTACCGCAGTGAGAAAAAATCCATACCGTCACAGCCCTCGGTATGTGTCAGGGAGGAACCCATTAGATTTTGGTGCGAATCGGGATCAGAGGGTGGGAATACCATTATAATGTTGAGAAATGTTTCGTTACTTTTTTAACTCGTGGGTCTTGCTGACAAAAATCAAGCATATTTAGGTGATTGAGTGGGAATTTTGGTGCAGATCTAAATTAAAACCTGGATCTAGTGAATTTAAATGTGGTTTCATAAAAAGAATTTTATTGTCTAGTTATGTGAGCTTTGTCAATTGAAATTGTCATTCAGGCTTATGTGGGGGCTTTGTTTGTATTCATTAAGTATTGTCAAATGAAATATTTGTATATTATAACAAAAAAAGACTATTGAGAGAAATACATATTTTATCATATTTTGTATCGTCATCTCTGAGGAAGCACAGATTGTGTGAAATCACCCGTAGCCACAGATGTAGACTAAAGGCACTTCCACTGACCAAAGTCTCATCAAAACCATTTCCGTCTGCCCTTCCGATTTAAAAATGAGAGTTGTACACATTACCACTGTTTGAAGGCTGGTCTCTCACCTTCCTCTGGTAGATGGCTATCCAATCAGTGGTGGCAAACCACTTGTGGCCCTTGATATCGTTGACTCCATTCCTGAGGTTGCCAAAGCGCTTGGTCAGGTCCACCTGAAGCAGATTTCTCAGCAGGTCCTTCAGGTCTGAGCTGAAGTGAGAGGGAAAGCGAACCTGGAAAGGAAAAAAAACACTGTGTGAGTGATGTGGTTTAGGCATACAGCTGCTGGTTAGTGTCAGACTGTGAGTGATGCTTATAGATAAGAGCAACTGTATTGATGACATTTTCCCAACTGATGTTGAAGATAAACGTGATTTGCTGGGTTTTGACATGTGTTTGTTTGTACCATTCTGTTTTTCTTTGTCCTTCCTCATCCATAAACCATTTTGGTCGACATGATGATAGATGTTCAGGGGGTGCAAAAACAGACCAGCCTGATGTGACCCATGTCACATCAGGCAAGGTCAAATACACTGAGGGCACTTCTTTACCTCCAACACTCTGCTGAACATCAACAGATGCTAGGGACACTATAACCCTGCTTTAGACAATTTACACACATGTCTAAGAAGCTGAGGAAAATTAAACTTGGTATGACACTAATGTACGTGCACAGTGAACTGCACATCTGTGGCTTTATATTGGTGTTAAGCGGTTGTGAGATTGCTACAACACATGCTAAAATTGCTAACACATGCTTATGCTATTTATATGTTTCTAATAATAATGTAAATAAAGGTGTCTGATTCAGTTCATTTTGATTTAAAATAAAACATAATGACAAAAAAACTTCACATACGTTTTTACTGAAAAGATTGCATTTGAAAGCCAAGGTCAGAGGAGCCACTGAGTTAAGATCAGTTAATGTTTCAGACACTTCACTAGTCTATAACTGGAGGGATACAAAGGAGAGTTGGAGTCAATCCCAGCTGACATTGGGTGAGAGGAAGGCTACACTCTGGACAGGTCGCCAGCGTATCGCAGGGTCAACATTGGAGGTGTGCATTGTGGGGAAGGTGAATTGAAACAAAGAAACTGATTTTCCTATTACAGCATCTTCACCAGCTTCATGATTTGATTAAGATCAGAATGCAGCTTGATGCATTTCAATGTATCACATCCACAATTTGTTATATAACTGCACACGGCTGCTTTATCATCAGTTCGTGAAAATCAGACAAATATGAACTCCCTTTTTATTTAGAAAATGCTTTTAAAAGTATTATAGACTGTTACTGTTAATTCATCCCCCCCTTGGCAGCGCCACTGCACTGAGGTGCATTACTCCACAGGTCAACAAGTGACTCTGCTCCCCCTATGTTTTCTAATCACTCACACTGATCAAACTGATAGTTATAAAAAAAACTGCTGAATTCATATTTATGTTCCTGGATAAATGGGGCGTCGCCTCTTCTGTAACAACGCGTTGCATCATAATCTGCCGGAAGAACTTCTCTTCAGTCTGCAGGAGTGTGTGTGTGCTTATCTCTGTCCCCTTCACATATGAACTATTAACCACATGTCAAATTTCTGTTGTTATTTAGGAAGCATCTATTCAATATAGGAAGAAAACTTAACTGAAACCCACACAGACACACGCGCACACACACACGTTTTTGTACAATCAGCATTAATTATGGACTTTAAAACAAATGTTTAAGTTTTATAAAGTGTCTCTGTTGTGTAGCAGTGTATAAATGTGTACTGTACTGTGATGGCACAGTCAAACTACTGATGAAATGAAAACTAAAGGACTATTGAGGTTAACTCACCTTCCCTGATACAATCTTCTCGTAAATTTGAATAGGCTGGTCGGCGAAGAAGGGGGGGTAACCAGCAGCCATCTCATATATCAGCACTCCCAGAGCCCACCAATCCACTGCTTTATTGTAACCCTGGAAAACACAAGGAAAATACAGGACAGTCAAGTATGTCCTCAAACAAAAACTCTATGATAACAGACAGTAAGCAGCATATTGTACCACAGTTTTGCTGCTTTTTAATTAAATTCAATGATGAGAGTTTAACAACACTGTCCTTCGTATAAAAAGCAGTGCTGTTTACGCTGGGCAGGACACTGACCTTACTGAGGATGATCTCTGGTGCCAGGTACTCTGGGGTCCCGCAAAGCGTCCAGGTTCGGCCCTTCACCCTTTTCGCAAATCCAAAATCTGTAACCTGAGGGAGAGAGGGCACAGCTCTGAGAACTAAACCACATAGAGAAACAATCACACAATAATTGTTGATGACCAAGAACGGAAACATGCAATCCTTGCCTGTATGTAACCTTGGTGGTCGATGAGCAGGTTCTCCGGCTTCAGATCTCGGTAAATGAGATCCAGTGAGTGAAGGTATTCGAAGGTCAGTACAATCTGGGCTGCGTAGAAGCGGGCGTGGGGTTCACTGCAAAACAAATTCAGCCACAACATTAATAGTCAACCAGCAGCACTTTGAAATATTTAGGTAGAGTAATCTGAAAGTCAATTCACCTGAATCTACCAATTCTCCTCAAGTGTGAGAACATTTCACCCCCGGGGACATACTCCATTATCATATACAGATTACTGTTGTCCTGCAGAGAGATGAGCAGAGTCTCACTTTGACATGAAAGACACACAAAAACATGGGGTGCACATGCATAGAGGATAAAACAGATGAACCTATTTAATGCATACCTTAAAAGAGTGCTCCAGTCGCACCAGAAAGGGAAAGCTGACAGCTTGCAGGATACGTTTCTCGTTGAGTGTGTGCTCTATCTGCTTCAGCTTCACTACCTGGGAGGAAACAGACAGGAGGCTTATTTAGGACAAACAGGTTCATCAGACATATTCAAAAATGGAGAAGAATAACAGGATGAATAATTTAATCCAAACTGTTTTTAATGCGTTTCTTCCATCCCTGTATTTTACATGAGCTCCTTGATCCCTACATGATTTTAAACTGGATATTCCCCTTGCTGCCAAATTTTGGAACTTTCAGACAAAAAGCCCGTCACCAATCATTATGTGTGCACTCTTAACAGATGGAATTCAAAAGGGTCACAGACACACTTTCTCTGACTAGATTTCAAGCCGGCTACAAATCTGCGACTACTACAGCAAATCAGAGCACAGGGCGGGGGAAGGCGGCATAAAGTTTGGAGAGCAGACATACTGCTCGAGGATTTCTCTCAGTGAGCATGTGACCCCGTCACCAGTCAGTCATGTAGTATGAACTGCACAGAGATCCGACGACTTTGAAAGTTGTGTAGTTTAATCTGTACTTGGTATAATACTGACATAATCAGTGACTCTGTGGCCTCTTTAAGTAAAAACAAACTGAATATAGGGCAGAGAAGCAGATGCTATAAGAAGATGGTCACAGTCACTTCTTTCTTCATGGAGCTAACGGCCAGTGAGACAATAATAATACTTTATTATCACTGTAGAAATAACACATTATTATCATATACAAAATGGAGTGCCTGCATAATTCTGTAAGTACTGTACCTTCTGTTTATCAAGTATTTTCATGGCAAAATGCTGGCCCGACTCTTTGTGTTTAACCAGCATGACTCGACCAAATGAACCAGTGCCTAAGGTCTTCAAACGCTCAAAGTGGTCCAATGCCGCAGTTTGCTGAGGGGTAGAGGAGGAAGTCAGTGAGACGGCTGCAACAAACCATGAAGAGTCCTACTGTAGTTTAACTATCATACAAAATGATTCTGCCGCTAAAACAGAATCAGACAACTGAAGTGCCGATTTAAAGTATTCACAAAATAATTCCTGTTGGTTTATTGTGAATTAAACCTGCTGAATTTAACATGTTGACATTTTGTTCCTTGAGTGCACTCATTGTAGAAAATGTTTACGTGTGTCCACATTAGCCCAGCAGAGGGGGCAATGGCCCTGTAAAAAAAATTGGAATTAATTTGATCATGTGCAGAGCTATTCCCATGATTCTGCCTGAGAGCAAGAACACGCAGATGAAAACAAAGTCTGGTTCATTCATTATGAAATGCATCATCACACTAATGTGCCTCTCCACACATAAATAAAAACACTTTTAGCCGAAAGTACAATAAAATAATGGATTTATGTCACAATGTGCAATATAAAATAAAATGAAAAGAGTGATTAGACAGAAAAAGAGTAGAAATTCTCATTAAAGCTCACCTGTGCTGGATTCTCCCATTTCTTCAAGAAATCTTCTTTGGCTTTGGCAAGAAACTCCTTCACTGCAATTAGTAACAAAGGGCATATTCATTAGAAAGAGTTTGTCTGTTTAAATTCAGAAACAAGTCCAAACTAATAAGGATTTTATGTAACAGGTCAACCTCATCTAATCACCCAGACCCAGAGAACACCACAAAAGCACTGTTTTAAAATCATGTGGAGGAATTTCTGACGTATTCCCCTAATAGAGCATGATACATGTTATGTGTACATTAACATAAATAATGGGTTTATGATATGATGACAGTCTGCAATCTTCTGCTTGGATCTAAACATCTGCTTCTACTGCAACAACGAAATTGATTGAGACACTGTAAATCCACAATGAATTAGAGAATTCAACTGAAGTAGATCTTAACACTAATACCACTCAGGGTAAAAATATGCCATCTCAGCCAGAGAACAAATTACAACAAGTCAATTCCCCACTTAACTATGACCCACTCAAATGATCACAACTGCAAAACCTGTTTAGAAGCCACATAATAAAAATGAAAAGCGATCAGTAAAGGTGTGAGGTTAAATAAGCCTGCAACTGAGAGATTTAAAGCTGAGTGACTCCACTTCATTCACAAATTGGGCTAAATATTAGGAGAACATGCGATAAAGTTGCTAAATATCGCGATGACAATATGACTTGCGATAGATAAACATAAACAGCCGGGCAGCCTTAATTTACAACTAATCTCCAAAACCAAAAACATGGATAAAGTATGACAGCTGTAAATCTGCATTGAGCGGGATATCCTCAAAGATGCTACAGGCTTCCACAGCTGCAATGGAAGACATTTTGTGTTCAACAGCATAATGGGAAAGAACAAAAAAGCCACTTGCGTGACATCTCGGCTAGTGTTTACCAGAAAGCATGTGGGAGACCTTGAAACACAGTGCAAAGGTTTTATGGGCTGTTGAGACAGAGAAAAAAATGCCATCACACCATCCCACTAAATGCTATGTTGAGGGAGAACCGAATACTGAACATCATCTAATGATCTCAATGAGAGTTATTGTTGTGACAGGTTCAAATGTAATGAAAATATTTTGGACACTAAGGACTACAACTAAGGAAACTCATTTTCAAGCAAGGCACCAACCTCAAACATACATCTAATAAACCAAAGCTACATAAGAATGACTTGATCATGAAGTTAGCATATTAAAGCCTTGTTCAATTGAATCTGTGGCAGGTTGTGGACATAAGTTTCAATCAGTGCACATTCAGTTACATTAGTTTTGTAAAGGGTTCATCAGGAGTGCACATACTGGAGGGAGCCACTGCCCCACACCACAAATACCATGCATGTGCATAATGCATGGGAAAAGTTGGACTTCGACACAGAGTGACCTTAATGTTGAACTCAATTCTTAAAAGAAAAGTTTGAGTGTGGTTTTTAAAACATATTATGAGGCTTGACACTGTCCATTCTCATTAGGCCGAGAGAAACCCATCTACAAAAGTTGGTTGTTTGCCCTATTCTGGAGTCAAGAAGACAAATAATGAATCTGGAATGAGTGTTTAGAGTTTGATAGCAGCTCAACCACAACCAGAGCCCCATGTTTTCCTGGATTACAGGTGCGTGCAGAGTAAAAATATCAAGTAGACATCCCAGCTAACGTGAACGATCCCAACTCAAATAACATTTAAAAACATTTTGTCGAGGTATCCTCGCACAGTGCAGCTTAACATGAGGCTACAAGAAGAAACCAACCAAGGCAATGCAAAAATACACACATGTACAGCACATTACTGTTATTATAGGCCGACAGCCATGAGCCTTTGAACACGTTTTGACAGCCTGGCACACAGTGTCATATGGAGAAGTACATTTTTCTTGCCCTTATCTTTATGAGGCTAATTACAATGCTCTGTGGGAACATGTAGATAAGTCCTTCCTCATTCCTCCTCACTATATGTGGAGTAGTTTTAGGGACACTCGCTACCCCAGCAGCTGGGTTATTTCTACTGTTAGTCCAGGACACAAGGGGATTAAGGTTGTACTTTTGCAATGTTTTGTCAAAAAAAATCTTTATTTATGTTATTAATGGTTCATGATTACTACACTGAATGTCGAGCCAGAGAAGCGGAAAAATATCTTGTAACAGCTTTGATTCAGATTATTTGTTAAATATTTTTGCAAAGTATGAATGTGGATAATGGCAATACTACAAAAATCTTATTTATACAAATTTATGACCAGTTGAAAAAACAGTGGAAACATGATCTCAGGATAATATGGAATGTCAGAGTAATCAATGGAAAGCAGCAGCCTAAGGCACAGTTCAAATAAAGCCAGTTAGCTGTCAATAGTGAAATTGCACTGTAATCTATTCATCAACTGTGTTATGTTATGAATATTTAAACTAAAGGATGTTTTGCATTGATAAATTCATATCAAATAGTAGTGGTAACTTTCTACACATAAACCTCCCAAGCATTTGTGTGTCCCGCAAACAGTGAAAACTAATTGAAGCTTAATCCTCATCTAGCAAATGTGATTTCCTGCTAATTCTCTAAAGACCAGCAGCTCCAACAATAGGATGAGAGAAAGCCAGCGAGAGCAGCAGAGACCAAAGTTCACATAAACATGTCCAGAGCACTGCTGCTCCCACAGTGGAAGCAGACCGGTCACTGGGGAGAAAACATTTCCAGACAAAGTTGCTCAACTCCCACTTACAAGAGTAAAATGGAGCTATTCCTGTCATAACTTGAAGCTGTTCAGAAGCAAAATTTGGCTGCTGCTGTAAGGAAATATCTCCATCTTCATCCAGACTCTCTTTATGAGCCTTGGCAGTGTCAGTTCAACACAATGACTCTCCTGTCACTGCAAACTCCTTACCATCTGGGATGACTATGGGTACCTCTGGTGCTGCTGCGTCTGCCGAGCGAGACCCGGATTCACTTGAGCGTGAGGATGACTCCCTCTTCCCTGCATGCCTTCTGGAGCTCTTCCTGTCACACATTAGCCCTGCAAAGTGTCCCCTGTTCTTCTGCCTTCCTCACAGCCACTGACTCATGACCTATCCTCCCCCTTGGTGAGCACTCGGGTCAGATCTGCGGCCCCGCGGAGCATCCACAGAAACCAAGTCAAGAGTCCTTGCCAGGAGGCGGAAAATCCTCGGCGAATCCTGTGACTGTCACTTTTGCCTGGGACCTAGTTCAGAAAGTTGCATACACCTCCCGTGCGCTGTCAAACATAGCATGGAGAGCAGCGCTGCACCCGTTACACTCATACAGATCAATTTGGACCCTTGCTTGGTTTGTATCAATATTTACACACAAAGTACTCCGTGCCGTTCCCTCTCATGTCAACCACACACGCAACCACACACACATGCACACACAGAAGCTATATATTGATCTTAACAGGGGCATGATCATCGGGGGAGGAGCATAAAACTGCAGCTGGTATATTTATCCAAGCCAGAGAGAGAGTTCTATGGAAAACTAGGCCTAAGTAAGAGACCCTGGAGATGAACAAGACACATCTAGATGCAACTAAAACTTCCCCCTTATTAGCAGAACCAATCAGATACCACATCTGCAACGAAACACTTTCAGAGCTGATCTGGGTGTTTAAAAAAAAAAAATTTAAAAAAAGGTAAGCAGGAGCGCACAGACCACTGGGAAACTTTTTCCTCCCTGCAGAAATACACCAGAGAATCTGTAATGCCAGTGTTGAATTGATCCTCAAAAAATCAATCCTCCATCGCTCCCCTGCAGGGCCTCAATAGCCCCACTCTGACGCAGGAACAGAAGGGTTATATTAGGGCGAGCTGACCGACATTTAACTGTGAAGCGCACCAAATCGGGTCCCACTTTACAACAGGCCCTGTTTTGAGAGTGAACAGCCCTGTGTAGTGCATAAGAAAACCGTCAGAAAAAAAAACAGCGCTGTGTGTAATCTAGGAAGGTGTTTGCATGTGTGTAAAGGTGAGAAATAAATCACCCTGGGTAGATAAATTACTGACCAATAAAGGAGCAGAAAAACTGACAGACTTGATCTGATTGGTCATCTTACACTCTGCTGTTCCATTCACAATATATTCAACTGCATGCGGAAGACAGTTTAAGTACCCAGATCTGTCGGTTTCATTGGGAGGTGATTTATTAAAACTGCAAAGTATCACTACCGCCCTTAAATCAAACTTGGAGAGACTCACTTTGTGATTTTCTATGGTCGTATATGAAATATAGAGCTTCAAAAGTTGCCTTAATGTGTCTGATTTTTTTCCCATCAAGATCCACAAATGAGTCCATGGAAAAACAGTGAAAATGTCAACCAAAAAAAATCTTGCAAATGTAAAAGAATGTGAAAAAATATTTATCATCTAAAAAATTTTATGGGTTTTTCCTTGGATCAAGCCCCACCCCTCCGCAAAATTTCATGGAAGGCCCAACTGTCCTCTTATGAAACCACATTTTAATTCACTCAATCTGGATTTTTATTTGGATCTGCACACACTCATGAATATCCGTCCTCTAAACATGCCGGATTTTCTTTCATTAGGATCCATGAATTATTCTGTAAGAAATGAAAATCTTTAGAAAATGTCCGTTATGATGAAGAATGTGAATGAAAAAAATGACTACTGGAACTTTAAATGGATACCACATCCTTCCATCAAGTTTCATGGTAATTCATCCAGGATTTTTTGCATAATCCTCCTAAATAACAAACAGACATACAAATACATAACCTCCTTGGCTGAGGTAATGGTCCTTTAAAAATCTTGCTAGATTTCATCTTCATGCCTATATAGCTTTCGAGGGTGGGAGGCTAAAAGTGACCCAGTTGAAAACAAAAACATGTTTCCCTGTGTATCTTCTGTTCCTCTGGGAGCCCTCGTTTCTACAGAAGAAGTATTTTCAGCAGCACCACCAATGTAACCTCAGCTTTAAAAGATTAAGGACAACACATACAAGGATTCACACGACCACCACACCCGTTGACGTGCGAACCAGAAGAAAACTAATGTTCCTTTTGAGATTACTGAACTCCATCCTCAGTTTTGCTTGGCCTGCTGCTGGATTTTGCATCTCAGGATTGTTTCATGGCAGCATGTTGGCTTGCCAACGGTACGGTAAGCTTATCTGAGCTGGCTGATTGGCATTTCAACCGTAAGGTCCACTGGTAATCAGTGCAGGCTTATAACAAAGCCCCTTTTTACTGGAGACAGGAAGTGATGAGCGATCCAAACACAAACCTGCGCCTGTTACACAAACCAGCTGTGTGCAGAGCAGGGGCAGGACGTGAACCACACAGATATTTATAGACAGAGGGAGGTGCACTTTGACAGGGTGCCACCTCGTTATATGGCCAAATCCAAAATGCACAACATTCAATACAACCATCCTCTGTGTCACGGCTGGATGTGTTGATGGTTCCTGCTCGGGTGTTTGATAAGTGTGTGAAAGTAAAGAAAAATATTTCCTGGCTATCAAGCACTAATACAATCGGACGGATTTAAAAGAGCATGGATGTCGTAACAGAAATTAAATTAAATCTGTGTGTCACATCAACAGTGACTGAGAAATGCTTTTGTTCTTACAGTAACTAGAAAACAATAGGTAACAAAGCAGAGCCAAACAAATGACGCTGTGCGTATACACCAAGTGTATTTGGATACGTGGACATAAGCCCACATACACATACATCTTGGCTTCTGGCTATAAATACCAATGTGTGCCAGTATAAAGGATCTCTCCACCAAAGCCAACAGACACTCATCAGGACATGAGATGAAAAGTACTAGAAAAAAACAGATTCACTTGATTATCTCCTAAACGTATGTAACTTGAACACAGCTTGACTGGTTAAGTTAGTAGGACATAGCATTAGCCACAGCTCCACCCCTAACTCATGCTCCTGTCCAGCTTCAGAATGAAAACTCACGCCAGCAGCAAGCCTCTAGCTCCTCTTGTGGTTGGTCATATCTGCCTTCTCCACTGCCTGTGTCCCCTAAACAAGGCCTGGCTCGATGAAACAGCCTTCCTGCCAGCCTGTGAATAACAGACATCATAAAAGGCTGGAGGAAGCCAGCCGACAGTCTGTGTAGAGCCTCAACGGTGCAGTACGTCCAGTAGATCTAACAAAGCCGGAATTCCAGAGAGTATATTAACAACAGTTTCTTCTTAGTCAAAAGTTAAAGCTATCCTGGCTGGCTGCGTTTAGCCCATGAAGCAGTACAGGCGATGAACAACAGTGCACAGCCTGGGCTGGACCTTCCTTGCTCCTTCACTTCCTGCTGCAGTTCACAGTGTCTGTCCGCCCTGCTTCTTCCTGTGGGCCAGAAATCCGCTTTTTATACTAGAGCAGCAGCTCTCCGCTCATCTTCTCCTGACTGGAAAGTTCAGAGGAAACAGAGCCTGTGCACCTGAACCAGCTCTCAACACTTCCTTTCCATTTTCCATAGAAACTAAACTGAGCTGCCACATTGTCCTTGATCTCTAGCGGCTCTGTGGAAAATTACAGTCCTGAGTAAGGCTCTGGACCCCTGGTCCGCACCTGTCTCAGGGGATCGGGGTGGGTCCAGAGTGATCGGGCTGATAAGGATGTGAAGCGAACCTCCCACCAGCATTACCTCCTATGTCTTTGGTTTGAACCTTCCAATTCTAACATTTCTGCAACCACTAAACCTTATTAAAAAATCTTTGAGGAAATTTGAAAGTCATGGGCTTTGTTAGAGGTTCCCAGATGGGTTAGCGTTACAGTGGGACTGAAGGCCATTCTTCACACCTACTCTCTACCTGCAGCAAGGAGCTGACACTCATTTTGCAGATAGCTGTTCAGACTTTGCACACTTGAGCGTGACTTATGGTGTCATGGATAAACGCATGAAAAGGACTGGAAGAAGGTGTAACAGGCATATTATTGAGACATTTCCCCTCATTTTGTAGTTAACACTGAGGTTTTCTTGTTTTAATGAGCTTATAAAAAAAAACAATATGACGGTTGAGAAGCTAATTAACAAAACTAAAAGTTGCGGTGAGCAAGCGTACACAAAATGATTAGTGACAGCTGAGCATCCCTCGCTCTGTGTCACGCACATCAACATTTGCACACATGTACATGGTGACACATACAAGTGCCCTTGTTCTAAATGCTGCTCATCACATGATGTTCAAGAGACTCCTCAACTCCAAGTTTCTGCCTGAAGAGGATCGCCCTCATGCATCATATGACCCGGTCCTGGTGGTTTTTTTCCCCTTCACTGATAACAGCCGACTCCCCTCGACTCACCAACTGTCAAACACGGTCTGTGAGTGTGTCCACATTAGATTAAGATTCAAATCATCACTTACATCCTGATCCTGAAATATAAAGTGCATCTGTAGAATCAAATGTCTGCATTGCATTGAGGGGGGGTGCTTTGTTGTTAAGTGGTTGGGTTACTAAAAAAAGTGCACCAGAACCCCCCCCCCCACACACACACACACACCAGGCTTTAGGTTTGCAATGTTATTCCAGCCTTTCATAACCTTTTGATTAGAAGGGAGGGAAAAAAAAAACATCTGAAACACAAGAACCACAAGGAAACCTATGACTGTTGTATAAGGCGAGTTTTTGTCATCCTCGCTTCGTACCTCTGAATATAACCTGGGGCTTTTAATCACGAGCTTTCCCACAGAATCAGCGGGGAGAATGAATAACATCCACTGCTGTTCTGCTGGGATGAACATGGTGTCATTGTGCAAAGCAGCCTGGCCTGGAAGTTTGAGTGTGGACGTGACAGACCACAGGTATCAGCAAAGTTTAGCAACAAATAAAAAATAGTGCAATGTTGTGTTGTTATGAAGGCTGATCTCTGGGCCTCGGTGCATTGCATGGGTGCTAAGTTGTACTTTACGCGTCTCGGGCAATATGGTGAACAGGAAATGAATACAGAGAGACAAGCCGACGACAGATGTGGGCAGCGGCTGCAGCCACGGGTTCGGGGTACTCACCACTCTCCATCTCATTGCCCTTCTTTGCGGTGGGCGTGTTGCCCATGATGGCAGGCTGATGGTGGAGTCCCTGGGTCCGGGCTGACTTCTCCTGTACAAGTCGTGGAGTGATGCTACACCTCTTAGCGCAGTCGACAGTCTCAATGAAGCTGACAGCTAGCTACTAGCTAACAGCTACCATTATTGACCAATGGGTGCAAATGTATTTCTCCCCAAATACTTTCCCCACGACGACTCACAACCTCCAGCCAAGCGATTATATCCAAGCTCGCAGCTAAAACTAACGCTTTGAGTGAGCTAGGCTAGCACGGCTGCTAGCAGAGATAACCAGTGGATGTTAGCTTGGTAGCGTTTAGCTTGTCAATTTCCAAGCGAGCACCGGCAGGTCAAGACGGCACTCGACTGTCCTTTGCTTCCAGATAAGGCTTCGTTTATCCAAAATCCAGTCAGGACCATTAGAGATCGTCGAACCGTTTTTTTTCCGTCTGTGCAACGAGCAAGCTGGCGTTAGCTTTTAGCGTCCCTCGCAGTCGTATCCTGGCCTGACCTACCCAGGTGCTATCTCTTGTAGTCAGGCCTTTTCAGCTGACACCCGGGAAACAAAAGTGCCGTCCGGGTTATTCTTTTTCTCCGCTGTTGCTTATTTCAAATGGATCTCCCTCCATTCATTCCTGAAGCAGCCGTCAAGTGCAATGGGACCGATCATCTGATAGTCGATTACTAAAATCAACAGACCCCCCTTCCATTAATCTTCAGACCGCAAGGGAAACTCCAGTCATCCATCTGGCTGGTCCCGCCTCTGACTGGATCCGATTGGCTGCACTCACAGACGCTTACGTGACAGAGGTCAAGCCTCGAGCGTTGATTGGATGAGCGTCGACACATCCAATCGGTGCATTGATTTGATTCGTCTGTTAAATGGTTTGGTCCCGCCTCCCGGACTTGCTTGTAGCACAAACGCCCCAAACTGTGTTTTTATTATTTTTATTATTGTCTTAAAATATAAACTGTCTGTATTCATCAGACTCTCTTTGGTGCAGATGATAATTGTAATGCAGTGATCTTGTAATGTTCACACCATTAGCATAGCAGTGTTTTTCAAAGCTAGTTCTGTAGCCTATAGCCACCCCTTCTACCCAACCCATCTATGATTGGGTGTGACGTTAACAGGCTATTTTTAGTAAAATGTGAAAATACAAGGGTATGCTCACATTGACATTTGTGTTACAGAGTTTGCAATCTGCTGTGTTTAAACTCATGGTTTAAAATGTTATGTACAAACTGGGCAGAAGTGTAGATGTATTAAAATGTGGTTAATATTCAGGTTTCCTTTCTGTAATTAAAAATAGGAAAACGTGAAGACAAACTATGCACAATAATCATGAAAAACATAGTCCTCGCAATCAGGCAGCAACATAACAAATACAATGTTCTTTTATTTGGAACACAAAACTGCAAACAGAAAAAACACAGATGAAGTGATACAGCCCACACAAAGCCCATCCCAAACTCCACAATGTAAGTGGGAAAATGTTTGAAGTGCTTCAGGAATTTGAACACAAACGTAATGGCAGATAATGCCATTCTTGTACAGAAACACATTGCAATTTATTTGCCTATTGCTTCAGTGCTGAAATCCTCTTAAATGGGTACAAATTTATTTTGCACCAACAAAATCAGAAGAAAAAACAATCTCACCACAGCGTTCTGTTTGTTTCAGTCCAGCTGCAGTATTTCTTAGCTGCTGTTTTTCCTTCCATGAGTTTAACTATTTCCATATTGCTTTCAGCATCATGGTAAGGAACTCCCCAGCGATAAGTGATGATTATTCGAGATGTTCAAAATCTTAGAACCTTAGAACAAACCCTCATCTGATGCCAAGGAGGTGAGAGTTCATTTGTGACAACAAGCCTCATTGAAATAAGTGCAGCTTTAAGGCAAAGATGTTTGTACATCCACACTGGAATGTCCACAGGCATTCTTCAATAATAAGGTCTCGAGCTGTGATATATCACCTTTTGGATCATCGCTACGTCTTCTGGGTTGTCTCTATAAGCAGTCCATGGAATTATCCGGTAGTATCCCCAAGGGCGGGGCCTTGCCCGGGAGACAGGATGGAGGGAGCATGGAGTTTGACGAAGGATCCACATTTTCAGAGTCTTCCATTCTCTCTGCACAGCCTTCCCAGTTTATATGGAACCTGGTAACACGTGGGTTTGACGCCAGAATATTTCTCTGAAGCTGAAAAGGAAAAAATGGACAAAAAGATTAACATTGAACCATATTATATTCAGATCTGATGGGCAGGCAGTTCTTACCAAATAGCAAAATATCATATTTATTTGGAATCTTGACTCAGGGAAATTATAGTTTGAGCTTTGACCTTAAGAAGACCTTCAACACTGAATTATCATATTGACAACTATACAATATCCCACACAAAACTACAGGATTGCAACTGTCGTCACTGTTAATCCCACATCTTGATATTCTTGTGCACCCATGCATGAGAGGTTTCATTCCAAATGTCAGCTACACTAAAAATAATACACCTACAAACAAAATCCTTTGTCATTACAGCAAAAATCCCAGAAGCCTATTACTGAAGTTACCGTCAGAATTATGATTTTGAAAAAGAGATCTTTTAGGATTATTGGTTGATTTTTTACGAATTAGACAATCTTAGCATTTTTTCTCCAAACTGCAGCCTCAGCAGAATAAAACGCTGCAATTCCATGTTGCTGAATGACAACATTTCTTGAATTTTTTGAGTTACGAAAATGAAATATTTCATAAATAAATTAATTGTATATTTGTATTGTACATTCAATTTCCAATATTAATTAAAATCAAAGAAATAAGCATTAGACAATAGACTTGTTGGCATCAGAAGTGATATCCTCTAGATTTAATCATTAATCTCACCTGAGTGTAGTCTGGTTTGATTGGCGGATTTTCACGAAGCTCAGGATCTGTGTATTCGTTGTTCACATAGTAACCAATGCGAATGAATTCCTGGCCACGATATGTACAGGTAATCAGCACCACAGTTACACCAACAGCATCACTTTCAGGGATCAATCCAGTGTTTGGAGCATCAGCCTGTTAGAAGACCAACAACACAGAGATGTGAAAAAAATACATAGAATATGTTATATAAATATAAAAATTCAGTCAGTCCAGTTTGACCATTTAATTAAATGTTGTTGTTTTTGACTGATCCAAACACACCTGAAATACAAACATATGTCTCCCAGCAGGTACAGGTCCAACCAGGACAGAGTCAAGGATTTGGTCATATTCTTCACTCTCTGCTGATCCAACATAGATAATCTTCCATTCCAGGTCTATAAAACATGAAATAGTTAAGTTTCAATAAAAAATGCAAAATAGCAAATGCAGTGCTGAGACAATTAGTCCATTAACTGATCTGATGATCAACAAAAACATTGCCAGTCACATCAATAAAAATAAAGTGCAGTGACTGTATGGATTTTTTGTAACAACAGTAATAAAGCAACACATTAGTGCCTAGGATATTTAGATCATTGACAGGCATTCTGTTGGCAGTGTGCAGTGACAAGAGACAGAGAATAGCAGTAAATTACTAACGGAGCTGGTAAAAACTGTAAAATACTTTTTTACAGTTCAAACGTGGATGAAAAGACCCCAAATTAACACGATAAGTGGACTTGGTGGCTCCCTGGGTGTCTGCACTCCGGTAACTGGGTCTGAGCCCCGGCGCTGTGCCACCTGAGGTAATGACGGTATTGAGCTCAACCCAACAGTAGGCATCACATGACCGTGATATTGCAGTTACTGTCACAGCCCAAGTGACAGTCACATACACAAATGTACAAAGGCAACACTAAATGTAAGAAATAGTGTATTAGCAAAAAGCAGATAGTGATGATGTTGCCATACACAATAATAACATACTAAGTTGTCAGTTTATAGGAACACCAGGTTAAAACTGATCCAATGCAGTCTAATACAACAAGTCTGCTATTTGTGGTGATGCTGAACCTTGGATCGTCCAGGCAGGTGTTCCTATTATTTGAGGTTCAGCTCAACGATACACATCTCTTTGTGTAAAGAAATACACTTAAACATATTGCACCAGCCCTACGTGGTCAAATGTTTGAACTCTTAAGTGTTATTGAAGTAAATTAGTGTACAAACTGAATTGTGTTGTCAACTATACTGCAGTAATAACAATCCACTCATTACTATTAGTGATATTTTACTTTGACATGCAAAATCAACAAATACTTTCACTTCAGTGTGTGTTGCTCGAAAGATATAACATTGATTTGGGTTAAATTGTAATAATAGTAAACATTAGCGTAATCCCGAGCTTCACTGAAAGATATGATCTGAGTTAAATAACTTTAAAATGCACGGGAAGCACATTAGGTTAAGAGGTGTAACCGTACGTTAACTGAAATGTCAATTTTTCCTAACGTTCCCTCAACCCCGGACTTTCTGTTTATGAGTTAGCTTAACCTGCTAATACTGCGTTAGCCGTTAGCATTTGTTACACACACACACACACAGACATAGCAACATGCTAAGACGCTCAACAACGTTAGCCTTCCTGCGGCGGAGCCTACCTTCGGGGAGGTCCTCCATACACTCGAACGTTATCTCAAACTGGAAGGGGTTCCTGAAGGGACTCGGGTTATCCAGCACCGCCACATTCAGGACCTGCACCTTCGCCATTGTTGCGGGAGCGCTGCAGCGAGCTAAGCGCAAATCAAACCAGTTTCCCGGGGAAAGCTTTAAACGCGACACGACCACAACGGGAGACAAACCAGCGGCGCTACGGAGACCTGTGCAGACTCTTACCCGAGTGGAGTCTCGTTTTTACGACAGAATTCACACTGTTTGTTTAGTTAATGTTCAACAAACACAGCTCCAATGAAAGGTGAGCGCGTGAACCGCTCTCCCGCCGCTTTGACCGTGTTACCGCGCCTACGGCAAGAGGCACGCGGACGAGCAGCTGCCCCATCACAGGAAAGGCAAAGTGACAATAGTGCCTCCTAGCGGCAGGATATCATAAGAGTGGGCCAACCAAAAATACTATAATAATACTATTATTATAATAATAATGATAACAATAATTACTAGATGATCACTCAGAGAGAGCATACCTCTACCAAGGCCTAACAGCTCCTTCATGAACCCACATAGATCTGGATTAGTTTTCTTCTGATCAACTGTATGGATTACAATAGGAAACTTGGTGGAAGTTTGCTGTAGGGTCAATAACATCTTAGCGTGGATCTGGATCTGGGGGCAAATCCAGTTTTACTTTGTTTAATAGAGAATAGTTCATAGATCTTGCGCTTGTTTGGGAGACTGATGTTTATGAGTGTGCAATTTGGTGCGGATCCAAATACAAATCCATATCTAAATCATTTAAATGTGGTTTCATAGGGAGACTGTTGGGCCTTGGTAGAGGTGCTCTACTGAGTGCCCTTGGGATGTTACACCTGAAATGAAAACATATTTACAGTTTGAGCTGATGATTTCCACCTTTGAGAGTAAATCACAAAAGCGACGAATGAGTCTTAAAGATTCTATGACTGAAATGCTATAGATAGGACAGAGTAAAAGGCACATGGATGATCTGGTCAGAGGAAACCACACACTGACTCAGTCCTCTCACATGAAAACCCTGACCACCACAGATTAGTCCTGGAGCAGCAGTCCCCTTTTTTGCTTTTCTTTTCTGCCCCTGTGAGTCTGAGAAGGAGAGATTATGTGAGGATTAGAGTCCACTGGACCAGCTGGCCGCCGAATTCATCCTCAAAACATCTCAGGAATGTTGATATGCTCTCTCATGTTGGGAAACATGAAACCTGATGGGGGCGCTGTTCCATGCCACCAGCACCATCAGACAGACAGGTTGCTAGGTAAGAGCTGGGCAGGGAGTTCAGCCAAACACAATACTGAAGCAGGTTGTTGGAGCAACCTGGCATCGTACTATACTACTACAAACTGCTCCTTATCAAGGATCCCACGCAGAATAGAGAGGAGACTATAAGACGAAGGTGAATTGAGTTATTTCTATCAAGGCAGTTTATTCTGAGGGAGTTTTTTTTTAAGGTAACAGGAGGAACTGGCTCTGTTCTGCTCCACTTCTCCACACAGCCTTTTTCTTCCACTTTGCACAAAGGAGGATCTGTGCGCTGCTGCTGCTGCTGCTGCTGCAGGTAGATAACTGCGCTCAGGTAATGTAACACGAAACTCAACCATGTGACCAATGGCGATTTGACGAGAGACCAAAAACTGCTTTGCATAAAAGCACCAACTGGTAGTGAAGTCGAGGATGTAGTCTGGCTGCTGCTGGAGGATCCATTCTGGCTCGTTTGTGCGTAAAAGCGCACTTGTTTCGCGTTGTAGGATGTTACCTGTCACCGTCACTGGACTAAACCACTTGCTGCGGTTTTCATTTTTGACAAGGTGAGGCGGAAGCGATATGGTTCATTCGTGACGGATCGATCTGCTCGGTGTTTCCCGTTTTGCTTTGACCACCTGTAAACACCCGGATCAATGGTACGTGTTTGTAATTCCAGTGTAAAGTCACCTCTAAAGAATATATCACCTTCTGTTTTATTAGTGGATATCATAATAACGATAACGTTGCAAATGAGAAGAGGTTGAAGGTTAAAGCTGCCTGAAGCTTTTAATACATGAGCTATTTATAGTTTATTATTTGTTCCTGTTGTTTGAGCAGGTTTATGATTCAGCATCAGGCTGAGTGTGTGACTCAGAAAGGAGTGAAACACATGTGTCTCATGTTACTGACAATAATGTGTCTCCAGCTGTTCCAGGAGGACCACATGTCCACCCAGTGACCTGATGACATGGGCCCAAGCTGATGCCCCGAGGTCCCCAGTCTGCCCGCACTTGGCCCCCGGCTAGAGATGGCAGCATATCCGGATGTGCTGACCATCCCTGGAGCTGTGGCCGGGATGGTTTTACTGCTATCGCTGAGCAGCGATCCTGTGTGGGGTGAGTCAGTGACCATCTCTTCATCCTCAGCACTGAGATAAACCATCCCTGTGACCACACCCACACACACACACACACACTGAATCCTGCAATGATAAACAAATACAAAAAATATTGGAGACATTCCAGAGCAAATCTGTAACTTGCACTGGCTTGTCAGCAACAACTGACTTAAGAAATGAATTAACAAAGGCGTTGTGCTGTATGAGAAACAGGTACATTGGATTGATATCCAGTCTGAGCTTATTATTAGTAATTAAATACATTATAAAAAATTTATTATGGAATACATTCTGTTGTTTTATGAGCATGGATTCTCCCACTCTTGTGAACCTCTGTTATCAGGTTGTACTTTTGTCCTTGCAAAGTTTACTATTTGTCCTAGTGAATGATTGACTCACAAAGTCCTTTGCGGGACGGTTTTGGAAATGCTACTTTCTTTGTAGCGTGTTTCCAAACAGTGTTGTTAGGCTCAAAGCAAACAAACAACACAACAGGAGTTTTGTGGGTTATTTTTATTCAATATTTCAGACCAGTGCGTTGTGTGACTCAGCTGACTGTATGGCTACAGTGCTCTCTGCATTCCTGAGCTTCTACCCCCCCCATTTACTCTCCTGCTCAAGTGGTCACTGTGTAGTTTCATGATGTCCCTCTCTAATCACATGGCCAGTCATGGATAAAATAAGTGGGAACAGCAATAGACCGGCAGTGGCAGGATGACTGCTATATTGTACTTTTGTTGCCTTCAAAGCCTTCATAAGGCTAAAGGCCACTTCTGCTGTACTGTTGGTTCCTCTTCTTTTCCAGCCTGTGTAAAATAAGTCACAAATCCATTGAAAAAAGAAGTTCAACATACAGTCTATGGTTTAACCGTGTGATCAGATCTGTTTTGAAGGTCGCAATGGATTTTTCTCGGTCTGTGATTTTGTTTTAAGGGTGTTGATCTTTTGGCAATGAGTCAGTGGAGGCTGACAGTCACATCTCTATCATTCATTTGGATTCAGGTGACTGCATTCATTTATTCTATTTCAACAACTGTGTTCAAGTAGGTAAAGTAGACCTATGATTTTAGAATATAGGAGAAGATGGTGAAAACCCCTTTATGTCCAGCAATGCTTTCTACATTCTAATATGTACTGTAGATTCCCTTTAGCTGAGCTCAGCAGTAAGTCTGTAAACAATTCGATTGAGCTTTGGTTCTGTCAGAGGTCACAAAATCTGCTTACTGGCACCACTAACGTTTACTCATTAACACATTGCATCCTATTGTTTAATCTGCGGTAAACCAAAGATGTAAAATCTTCAGTTTTACAGAGGTGATTCAGTGTACGCTGTTTTTTGGCCTTGAGCAGTAACCTCCTGGAGTCTCCTCCTCTGGAGAATGCTTCACTAAAATGTTGAACTATTCCTTTAAATTCATCCAGACCACTGCTAGAACACAGGGCATGGTAGAAGATGGATATATGTACATGGTGCTACTCAAAAACCAATGTTTGTAGGCCGCAAACAATTAAGACAACTTATTGTTAAAACACTTAAATAGTAATTAAAAAAACACTTCTCTCGTTAATGGATAATCCCGGCTCCAGCCCCCCCCCCCGTGTTACCAGCAGTTTGTAGCCCTTTGCTCAGTTATATAGTGTACACATCATCACGCCATTGTTTCTGTTTCTGCTCTTTCTACAGGAAATTTGACTACCACTGCCAGTAACACCCCTTCAAATAAAAGTAATGTGAGTGAAAACATTTATCATGCTCAGTAAATAACCTCAGAAAGTTTCCAGTTTTCACAACTGATCCCTATCCTGTGTTTTTCCATTGGCAGGGACACAACATCGCAGCTATTGTGGCCCCCACGGTCACTCTGGGTGTCTTGGCCATCGTCTTGGCCGTGCTTGGCTGGCTTTTCTGCGTGGTGAAAAAGAAGAGGCAGACCGAGGGGACGTACAGACCCAGTGCAGAGGAGCAGTCCGGGGTACGCAGCGTGGCAGCACCGGACGCGCTAAAGCTACCAAAGGAGGAGCGACTCATTTGAGATGCAGTGCTCTGAGAAAAATCTTCGGCGTTGTGAGAGGACGGAGTGCCACCTTCGCACGATGCATTTACTAACCACTTCGTCTCAACAGGCACAGAATGGTTCCTGTGTGACTCCACGAGGAGAAGCACCTGGATGTATCTTCCAACAGATTTTAGGACAGTTGAACATTTCAAGTGGGGCTTTTCTTCTGCACAAGTGAAACAGGAGCTGCAATATTTTATCACTGCTAGTTATTTTCATATTGACATGTTTTCCTGTTTCAGTTTCCTTCATATTCAATGAAGATGATTTGATTAATTGTAAAAATACTGTAAAAATCTATGCTGATCGTTTACCTCAAACTTTGCTACAGAGAGCTCACACGAGTCCATTGCATTTACAACTGATAATGTTTTTATCCTAACAATGAGAATAGTCAAACACAGTAACCTGCTGTTTGATTAAAATGAGGTTACACTGGGAAATTAAACCCAGCACAAAGCAAACTGTTGTTTACACTTTAAGTATTCATGAATAATCACACTAATGTAAAGGTTGCATCGTTTCAAATTCTTCACATCATGAGATCAGCCATGAAGCAACTTAATCAAGCAGAGATGTTTCACAGTGTCACAGCATATTTATTCATTCTTTCTGTCTAATAAATAACAACATGTTTGTATAGTAGATGAGTAATTAAACCTAACAAAACATTCACTATGTTCTAGTGGTACATACAGTAACTATGTGTTTGTGCGGGGGAATGTTTCAGGATGATAAAAGAGTAGATAAGCACCAAGAGTAAAATGTTCAGTCCCTCAGAGCACCTGAGAAAGTCACTTAAACAATGAGGCCATTGTTAGAGTCTCTCTGGGGAACAAATATTGTCTTTAATGTCATGAAAAGATGTAAAGTGAGTCTGATCTTTTACCATATTATGTTTTTACCCTTTTCTGTTTAGTTGGTTGATTTGTTTAGAAACAAGTTTATACAAAATCTACTGGATGGATTACCACAACACTTGGTGGGAGGAGGTGAGATGGGTCAGGGAGGAACCAAATTCATTTTGGTGCCGATCCTGGATTTTTCATTTTCACCTTCTTTAGCGTTGTGAGAGAGGATGTTTTTCATCATTTTCCAATCAGCCATGTTTTAGGGGACTTATATTTATGAGTGAGTGCAATTTACTGCAGATCCAACTTAAAATCCAGGTCTAGTGAATTTAATTGTGTATTCATAAGGGGACTGTTGGGCCTTGATGGAGGCAAGCGGTCTACTGAGTGCCATTATAGTTTACATGTCTTTCATGACTTGAATTAATCAAAAACATGTGGAGACAAGATGATAAGTAACACCATTAGTAGTTTATAGTAGTACACATATCATTTAATATCAGCATTGTGATGGATGTGAAATATCATTGTCATTCATTTAGTTTACATTATTAAAGAGCTTGTTATGCCGGATATTCATTGAGATAAAGTTCCAGAAGGATCGGTTTTAAATCTCAGAAGTGACATTTCTTCTATCTTACATCAGAGAGCACATTAAGAAAGGATTTATTTTAAAGAACTAATATTTGAGAAAATATAAAGTGTTTTGTTTATCCCCCATTGAGACTGTGGTACTATTGAACACTATTTACGGACAAGGAGTTCTGGAGAAAACGTTCACACATTCATTGTGACTCCTCCTGATAAGACCGGCTTATCTAAACCTCAGCCGATAAGGAGCCGAGAACAGGTAGAACTTATTTAAACAGGAACAAGAACCCAGACTCTGTTTTTAACAAGAATCTTTCTTTATCAAAACAACTGAAGATAATTTCTTACTCAACAATTGCTTGGTGAGTTTCTTATCTATAAATTGTTACTGTTGTGCTGCGCAGTGTTCACATGACGGCACAGTTTCCTTCAAAGTGTCTTTTAAGTGTAAGAAATGTTTAATTTAGGTGAATCACATTATTTTTTATTTAAGAATGTTTCTGGGGCCGGGGGTCCTTCCATGTGGAGTTTGCATGTTCTCCCTAGGTGAGTTTTCATCGCCTCCCACAGTCCAAAGACATGAATTTACCATAGATGTGAATGTGAGTGTGAATGATTGTTTGTCTCTATATGTTGGCAGCTGGTGTTGGCTCCAAAATCTGAGCTGCATTCTAAACTTTTAATATAGTATATATGACTTCAGAGATTATAAAACCAAAAAAAATGGTTTGACTCACTTTGCCACATGCTCACCATCACTTTCATTGGTTGTTTCTAAACTTCATGATTGCATCTGCATTTAAATCAAATCAAATGTACATGTTGTGACCTTGTTACCAGGGCAGATGTGGGTCAGGAGGTAGAGTGGGTCGTCCACTAATTTGGAGGGTCGGCAGGTTGATCCCCCATTCCACGTGCCTGAGAAGCTTTTCCCACGTCCCAATGTACCAGAAGAGGGACAGTCAGGTCACATATCAGAACAATCAATGAAAAGACTCAGAGGCAATAAAACTGGCCTTTTCATCAGATTTTATTTTCCTCCAATTTCAAGGCTTCACAGTTAAAATCACTTGCTGTTGAAATTGGCAAGGCAGATGTAAGAATGTCAATGAATCATTCACAACAAACAAAAGCATATGAACCAAAAACTTCACTAGTAGCATCAATGTCTAACACTAGAGCGACAGCGATCTAGATGGTGAGAATTTGTCAGTGTGGCGGGATGGGGAGGGATGAGAGGGGTGGAGTTGGGGGAGATGGGTGAGGTGAACTGATGTTTGGTAGCTGGGTTGACGGGAGGTTTTAGGCGACCTCCTCCTCCCCCTCTTCCTCAAACTCGCCCTCCTCAGCGGTGGCGTCCTGGTATTGCTGGTACTCTGACACCAGGTCGTTCATGTTGCTCTCGGCTTCGGTGAACTCCATCTCATCCATACCCTCGCCGGTGTACCAGTGGAGGAAAGCCTTACGACGGAACATGGCGGTGAACTGCTCGGAGATGCGCTTGAACAGCTCCTGGATGGCTGTGCTGTTGCCGATGAAAGTGGCTGCCATCTTGAGGCCGCGGGGAGGGATGTCACAGACGGCGGTCTTCACATTGTTTGGGATCCATTCAACAAAGTAGCTGCTGTTCTTGTTCTGCACATTCAACATCTGCTCGTCCACCTCCTTCATGGACATGCGGCCCCTGAACACTGCTGCCACTGTGAGGTAGCGGCCGTGGCGTGGGTCGCAGGCTGCCATCATGTTCTTGGCGTCGAACATCTGCTGGGTGAGCTCGGGCACGGACAGGGCGCGGTACTGCTGGCTGCCCCTGCTGGTGAGTGGGGCGAAGCCTGGCATGAAGAAGTGGAGACGGGGGAAGGGCACCATGTTGACAGCCAGTTTACGGAGATCGGCGTTGAGCTGACCGGGGAAACGCAGGCAGGTGGTCACTCCGCTCATGGTGGCTGACACCAAATGGTTGAGATCACCATAGGTGGGAGTGGTGAGTTTCAGGGTGCGGAAGCAGATGTCGTAGAGAGCTTCATTGTCAATGCAGTAGGTTTCGTCAGTGTTTTCCACAAGCTGGTGGACGGAGAGGGTGGCGTTGTAGGGCTCCACCACAGTGTCGGACACTTTAGGAGACGGCACCACGCTGAAGGTGTTCATGATACGGTCGGGGTACTCTTCGCGGATTTTGCTGATGAGCAGGGTGCCCATGCCAGAGCCAGTGCCACCACCCAGGGAGTGAGTGAGCTGGAAGCCCTGCAGGCAATCGCAGCTCTCAGCCTCTTTCCTCACCACGTCCAGGACGGAATCCACCAGCTCAGCTCCCTCCGTGTAGTGGCCCTTGGCCCAGTTGTTCCCAGCTCCACTCTGGCCTACAAACAAAGAGTATTGCAATTTACTGAGCTGATGTGGGAATCACTGGCGGCCAAAAGAATACTACATTCTGATCTGATTCATTAGAGCTAAATTCACACAGCTTACCAAAGACAAAGTTGTCAGGCCTGAAGATCTGCCCGAAGGGACCAGACCTGACTGAATCCATGGTACCAGGCTCCAGGTCCACCAGGATGGCTCGGGGTACATACTTTCCTCCTGAAATGGATCAACTGTGTCATTTTCATTCAGCACAGTGTATTCACAGGCGTGTATGCAAATCATAATGCGCAATAGGAAAGCAGGGGAGATGAGACATGGCATGAGATCGCACATTTTCCTGTGTGTGTTTTGTACTTGAATCCTACCTGAGGCCTCATTGTAATAGACGCTGATCCTGTCGAGCTGCAGGTCGCTGTCTCCATGGTAGGAACCAGTGGGATCAATGCCGTGCTCATCACTGATCACCTCCCAGAACTGAGAGAGAAAAACAGGCGTGGCAGTGGAAGAGGGAGAGGCCGGTGTTCATTCAGATCAGGGCTGATACAAATAACTGAATAAGCTGAAAATACACAACAATACACGGACACGCAAACCCTGAACCAGCAGCTATTTTTAAACACGTACAGCTGAACTCAGGTTATAAGTGCAGTGCATTAGTCTGAAATGCAGCGTCTCTGGAGTAATCGAGCAGATGGCAGTAAATCTGATAAGCAGCCGGTGCTTTGATGCTATTAGAAAACACTGTATTTAACGAGCTCAAAAACACTATATAATCATGCCAATGTTAAAATAAAACCATAGTCGATTGAATGTGTTTTAAACAGGACGTTTTTCTGCAGAAACTGGCTTGAAAAGAATCCGAGGTAGAAAATAGGTCATAATGTGATGGGGGAGGGGAGGCTGTTCCTATAGTGACACAGTGAGGTTGCATTACTACTACAGCCAGTCCTTACATAATCGTCTGCAGCACATGGAGACGAATCAAATGCCAATCTTATATGCAATTATCAAATTCAAATATTTCCATGTATTATTATATATCCTCTTTCATGGATATTTTGTATCTATTGCACAAATCAATGCACAACATACACATGGGGTTTTGAGCCCTGCAGAGAAAACCGACGAGAAAATAAGATATGATATATTTAAAAATTGCTTTTAATAGCAGGAAGATTTGATAAAGCAAAGACACCGCACTGTGTTTCTTCTAAAGATTTCCAGGATGATGGATTAGAGGCGTGCCTGCACGGGTGGCTCTGCAGAATACTAATAAATAAAAGGCAGACAAAGAGAAAATCGGACAAATACCTTGGCTCCGATCTGGTTCCCGCACTGACCGGCCTGCAGGTGCACAATTTCGCGCATCTTGGTGATGTAGAGTCGAGGATGCTTCGAGTAGGAGACGTGAGAGTGAATCCAGATTTCACGGGACGATGGCTCCTGCAGTCGGTTTTGTTGCGCCGCCTCCAGAAGCGTCTACTGGGCTGAATCGGTGGCGCAACTTGACGTCATCCCCATGGCAACCACAGACCGGAGGAGAGAAGGAGGAACCAGGAGCCGTAGAAATGGCGGAGAGGGCGCGAGGAGGCGCAACAGTCGATCAACGAGACACCCATTATTCTCACGGACTGAGTGAACCCACGCACGCACGCACACACGCCCTTGTGCACGTACGCACACTGCAAAAAAAAGGCCCATTGTTGCTGCACACTTTAACCATCAAGGTCAGTGTTGTGCAGCTTTGACAGTGTTGCACATTGTAAGGCACCATGAGCTCATCACGTTATTTCAGCCACGGGTTGAGAGGACAAGGACAGACACTTGCAAAATGAATCAGCTTGAGTTTGAAGATTGTTTCTGTGCTAACTGTTCTTATCAGGCTTGTTTTGCATGTGGTTCTGTATCTTGCCCAAGGACCCTTGGGTGACGCCCATCCTTATTACAGTTGAAATAGGACAAAAAGCAATACTCTATGGGCTATGAAATAAAAAATACAAAGCAATAGGTGTACGCATGCATGTCAGTCTTAAATGTAATTTCTCAAAGCAGATGTTATAGATAACTGAAGTGCATAGTTTTTGTGAAAATTGACTAAATCTTCACAATTATTAATAGAACTCAATAGAGCGATTCCTCAAAAGGCCCAAAAGTCTCTCTATGAAATCACATTTAAACTAGATTCAGATATTTATTTGGATCTGCACCAAATTGCACACACTCATAAATATGAGTCCCCTAAACAGGCCATATGTTTCTCTAATCCATTAATTATTCTTTGAAAAATCAAGGAAAGAGAATAAATATCTGGATCTTTCTTGACCCATGCTGCATCCGTCCACCAAGTGTTAAGACAATTTCATTTGAATAAAGAAACAAACATACCAGGACAAAAGATATCTCCTTGGTGGAGGTAAACATTTGTTGACGAAGCCCTCCAGCCAAACAGTTAAGATTGTGTTATTTGCAGGTTATCATGGAAATCTGTGTAACTGCCAGAGAGGCCATTACTAAGTAAACAAGACATATTCTCCACCCTAACGACTAAAAGCTGCACATCCTTCTACATTACTGACTGTTCACACTCTGAGTCAAGACCAAACCTAAAATTAGATTCATCAAAAAATGTGTCACAATCAGAATAACAACCTGCTTCCACTCGTCTTCTGACTGTGAGACTCAAATGTTCCCTGCATTCTTTTATCTATTTTCTGCTGCCACATATTTAATACTCTGCTGCTTTTCATGGATCTTTCCACCAAACATGTTCCTCCGGTTCCTTATTTTGTATGCAAGTAAATATTCAAGATAAACACTGTGACATACAAGTAGTGTGACGAAACACTAAAAGGACTAAGGCGTGGACACAGGAGGCCCAGGGACGTTTAAACAATCTTTTATTTAAAGTTACTTAGTGTACTATTTGACAAATATTTGTCACTCGATCATTTTGTTCAAGAATATTGTGAATTTAAAATGTTTTGAATGTTTTAAATGTTTTGTTTCTGACAGTCAAAATGTCTCAATATTATTTAATAATCACATATATATATATATATATTTATCATAATATATAATTAAACATGTGAAAATATATGCATATGGTCATAAAATCAACTGTAATAAATTCTTATAGATTAGGATTGAATTTTGAGTTGATGAAAATTAAATAAATGAAAAAACAAAAAACAAAAAGGGCAGGGCTGACAAGACAACACAAGCTTGTTTTACTCTTTAAAGGATCCACTCACCCAAAATTACAAAGCACATCTTCTCAAAGAAACTATAAACTACAATCTGGCAATGATGTATCATATCATCAATATGTCAGAAACAGAGCGGCTCCTTTTGTGTTGGATGCTATGACTAAATCTGTGGCTGCTCTGAGCTGGTTTATCCTGTTCACGTCAAACCTCTCCTGCAAAAAGACAGAAACCACCTGAACACAGCTGGAGAGCGGTGCAGCAGTGCTACACCTCCACTCACTTCACTGATGAAAGGAATCAGCTGCAGCATTTTGTTTTCCCTCAAACACATCCTTTGTTTAAATGGTCAGTGGCCAAACCTGCTGGAATCGATAAACAGCCTGACAGGTTTGTCAGTGTGCAGCCCCCCGAGCTGTTGACATGGACATTAACACTGAAACATTCACATTCGTATCCTGAATGATTGCATTCCAAAACACCAAGTTACCGACCAGTTTTAAGCGCTCCAAAAGACCTGACCAATGGGGCTCTATTTCCTGTTCCCTTGCTCCGCCACATACAGTGTGTCTCACTCTGCCACATGATTTAAGTTACACCCACAAAGTCATGCACAGGAAAACCAAAAGCATTTGCTACTCTGTGTGAAGAACAATAGAGGTGGCTGGTGCGTTGTGAAGGCAAGTTTTGATGAGGTGTGATCCAGGAATCGTCAAGGGCGTCTGATGCTGTGAGCCGTGGATTCACATTTACTGTACATGACAAGGGGGTGATCATGTCCCTGCCAGAGGAGGATCTGACGTGCCCCGTGTGCTGTGACATCTTCACAGACCCTGTCCTGCTGTCATGTAGCCACAGCTTCTGCAGGATCTGTCTGAAGCGCTGCTGGGACACAGGTTTACGTGAGTGTCCGGTCTGCAGGAAAAAAGCCACCAAGTCCAACCCCCCCACCAACCTGGCTCTGAAAAACGTCTGTGAGGCTCTGCTGCAGGTCAAGAGCCAGGCGTCTGTGGCACTGGAGGAGAAGACAAACTGTATCCTGCACGGGGAGAGGTTGAAACTCTTCTGTCTGGTCGACCAGCAGCCCATCTGTGTTGTGTGTCAGTCATCTAAACTTCACAAGACCCACGAATGCTTGCCCATAGAAGAGGCCGTGCTGGATTGTAAGGTAAGGGTAAAAAAGAAAAGCGGAGAGAAGTCAAGTTTCTCAATTGCTTTTCAACTGCTCACTGTTGTTTAGGTGCATGCGAAGTATTTACAGTAACACCTACAGGCAGAATGCTGCTCCACAAGTCCGTCCTGATAATCATGATAATCCACGCAGTTACCTTTTAGTGATCAGTGCAGGCCTAAAATTCCCACAGTGCTTCTGACTGAGCTCTGTTTGACTCTGCAGGATGAACTTGCTTTCACCCTCAAACTCTTGCAAGAGAAAGTGGACAGCCTCAAAGAAATTCAGCGGACCTCCACGGACCTGTCCAAGTACATCAAGGTATAGCTTTTGATGAGACGAGATGTCCTGATATGTCTCATTAAGACAAAAAACAAAACAGTCATAATTTGCAATAATCTCTCGCAGAATCAGGCGCTAGAAACACAGAGACTGATCAGGAGCCATTTTGAGCAGCTGCACCAGGAGCTCTGTCAGGAGGAGTCAGCCAGATTAGCAGCTGTGAAGCAAGAAGAAGAGGAGAAGGTTGCAGGGATGAAGGATAAGATCAAGGAACTGTCCGCAGAAGTGCTGTACCTCGTAGACACCATTTCCGTCATACAGGAGCAGCTGCAAGAAGAGGATATGATTCTGTTGAAGGTCGGCACACTCTACTTTACTGAAGCGTTTTTTTATTGTTTCCAAAAACGTGACACTGTTTTATTATTTTTCCAGAATTTTAAAGCCACTCAGGACAGGTAGGTGAACAAAAATATGTTTCCACGCTTTCTTGCATTGACATGTGTTAGCTGTGACATTTTCTCATAGTAAAATATCTGCCGTTACAACAGAAGCAAAAGCATTGTGATTGGTACAGACAACATGTCTGGATTACTGATTGATGTGACCAATCATCTCTGCAACCTCAAGTACAGAGTGTGGGAGAAAATGCTGGAACACATCGACTACAGTGAGTTCATTTCATTTTACGATCCTCAGCTTCAGAAACTTTAAATAACAGAATTATAAATCTCTGCGGCTCATTTCCTGTCTTTTAGCTCCGGTGACTTTGGACCCAAACACAGCGCACCCCTGCCTCATCCTGTCCGACAGCCTCACTTCCCTCCACTACGCAAAGCAGCCCGGCTGTTGCCCTGACAACCCTGAGCGCTTCCACATTAGTGCCGAAGTGGTAGCCATGATGCCGCTTGGTTCAGGAAGTCACCACTGGGTCGTGGAGACAGGAAGTAATCAGGACTGGCTCCTGGGCGTGGCCTCTCTGTCTGTGCCCAGGAACACTGAAGTCTCCGCTAGGCCTGAAAATGGCTTCTGGACTTTGTGTTTCCGGGACAGAGAGTTCAGGGCGATGACCTCTCCGCCCACCCCGCTGACACTCTCAAGGACGCCAAAACAAATCAAAGTGCAACTGGATTACAACAAAGGGACAGTGTCTTTTCTTGACCCTGCTGACAACACAGTTATTTTTGCATTTGCCCACACGTTCACCGAAACTTTACTTCCATATTTTTACACACAGAGCAGCCATCCACTTAGAATAATGCCAGAGAAGGTACTTGTCACAATGTTGCGTCAATAACTGGATGAATGAATAACTTGTTGTGTAGAAAAAGACCACCTCAGGCCAGAGATGAAATGGTCTGGTTGTCATGGTAATGTCTTTCACAGACGACATAGAAAATATTCTTTATTGAAGTCATTTTGCTGCTAGCCAGGCTCTTTCCAAGGGTCCGCCCATCATGAACTCCCTAATTAACCCATTATATCTAGTTTTTTAAATAACAATGAGCACTTTTTTATAGCAAACTTACAAAGTTATGTACATGCATGAAAACAGAGTATCGCAAAAAGACAGGGAAAAGTTAAAATTTAGGAAAAGAAAAGGATAAAAGGGAAAATTCTAGATATGTATGTAACAATAATAAAATAATAAAATAAGGGTAGAGAAACTGAACAATCCACTGTTCAGCAGGGGTAAATGATTGTGGTATGTAACTTCCCTGAACCTGTCCTTCAGACAGCCCCCCTTTAACATGAAAAACTGCTTTAGTGGCGCTGTTCTTACCTTTGGAGAGATCTGTGTTCGCCCAGTTTCAAGTCTTCGTGCTAAGCTAACATAAACTCCACCTACACACTGAAGCTATGAGGGCAATATATTGATATTCTTCATATTCCATATTTTGCTGGACTGGGATCAAAGAGAGGTTTCTAACCTGTCCAGCATCATGCATCTTAAGAAATGTACCATACCACGCACGAAACACAGGCAAACCCTCAAAATCCTGTCCCTGCACACATGTGGGGACCTTAACCTCCCCATAGATCAGTGTTCATTCAGGTTCAAGTCCCCACCAGGATATAAAAACAACCACACACACATACCTAATTTGTGCAGTTGCATGTTTTGTTTTCCAGTGAAATTTCAGCTTCACTTCAGTTCAATAGTGAAAAGGTGTTTTATTCTGGAGGGATTTCAGATGGTTAAGTTTATTAGTCTGTTTTGTACACATGGTGGCGCCAAAGCCAAACAAATAATTTGAAGGATTTCCATACAGTTGAGACAGCAGCTTTGAAACAAGCACATAATTGTGATAATACAAATAATTTTCAAATGTATTAAATCATGAAATAAAATGTTCCTCTTGTTTCCTCATATTTTAAGATATATTGATATATTATTTTCTGCAATAAAACAACTACTCTGCATAAAAACACATTCAGTTAAAACACAAGCATAGAAGTACAGAGAAATTAAATCAATGACATGAGTTCACAGTTAGATTCACAGTATGTAGCTCCTCTTTAAAGACACATGTTAGACTCAGACTGTCTAGTATTCTAATGTAAATCTCAAGTATTTAGTTTTTGCTCAGGTGGGGTCTTGTTATTTCCTGCAGTGACACAGGGGCAACACTTCTTAACGCAGGTCTCTGAGAGGAAAGACAGCATCTCCAGACGACACAGGTAAACAAGTGGCTGGATGGTGCTGCTGATGTTGAGGAAGGCGAAGCCCACGGGCTGCACGTAGCAGCGAAACACATCAGGGGAGTAGTAGTCTTCGAAAGGGAACAGTGCCACAGGTGGCAGGTAGTTAAACACAATAATACAGAGGATGGACAGCACCATCTTGAAGGCTTTCCTCTTCATAGGGTGCATCTCATCTTTTCCTGCACTGCGGGATCTTTTCAGGGCCCACAGGATGCTCACGTTACACACAACCATCCAGGTAAATGTTGCCAGGATCTCACCTGTGAACACCTTCTCAAAGTTGGGGAGGCCTCCCACAGTCTTAGCAGCCGAATAGGCGAAGGTGAGGCAGAGCACCAGAACCGAGAGGCTCAACCTGTACTTGATGTGCTTGAGCTGCCCAAACTGAATCGGAAAGAGCACGGCCACAAAGCGATCCAGGCAGATGCAGGACAGAAACAAGGGGCCGCTGGTGTCTTTCACACCGTAGGAGAACTTGATGGCGGACCACACCCCCTTGCTCTGCCAGTGGTAAAGGTTAATGAAATTGAGGGGGGGCATGGTGCTGAAGTAGAAATCCATGAAGGCCAGGCAGCCGAGGAACATGTCCGAAGTGGAGGGTTCTTTGCGATTGCGGATGAGGACTGCGAGGACAAGTAGGTTGGCAGGGATCCCTATGAAGACATTGATGCACTGAAGGGTCAGGTCAAAGAGGATGCCCTCTACCTGATGATCGCACCCATCGAACACACTGAAGGGTTTCACTGTGGCATTGATGTCACCCGTGGTATTGAGTTGAGGGAGTTGTGTCGGGGCAATGGTCACGTTGAGAGGTGAGGACACATTTCTCTCCATGTTAACTCAACTGCACACACAAGGAGTCTGATGGGGGAATAAGAAGGTTGAAAAAGGGCAGTAAATTTTTTCCAACATGATATCTCAAGAATGCTCTGGGGAAATTGTTTCAAATTTGGTACAAAGATTCAGTTTGACTAAAGGTTGAACTAATTAGATAGTGGTGGTCAAAGGTCAATGTCTCTGTGACTTCACAAAGCACATTTTTTGCCTTATCTCAAAACGCCTTGAGGGAATTACTTTAAATTTGGTACCAATGTTCACTTGGATGAAAAAATGCATTGATTCGATCTTGATAGTCAAAGGTCAAGATCGCAATGACCTCTTCTTGTGAATGTGATGTATCAGGAACACGCATAGACCTGGACCTCAAGGTCAAATGTCATTTGATTTTAAGAGAATCCTTAGAGAATCACTTAGGCTCACAGATCAACTTAATTGATTATGGTAGTCAAGGTCATATCTCAAGTCTGCATTTTGGAAACGCCTCAAAGTTTGACCAGTTGTCACTTGGACTCAAAACGGATAAGTTTGATTTTGTCATCCAGTCTCAGTCGTGTCAAAGGACTGTTATTCATTAGAATGTTTTAATCTGCTGTGAGGTGAATTCCCAGAAGAGTTGAACTAGTTGCAGAGTAAAGTGAGATATTTCCCCGAGAGAACAGACGTGTTGAAAACACTGTCAGGGCTTCTCCTCGGGCTGTTATCATGTTATTGTGTCTGTGTGCGGACTCCCCTCTGGGAAACACGACTCCCTGCATTGAGGGACATGTAACTCACTTAAGGGAATCATGATAAAGGCTCCACCCTTTCACAGCAGAATATAAAGGGCAGCTACTCCCAAATTAGAATGGCAAAGTTCATCTTCTGCACATAGACAAGACTGCTGTTTGTAAGGGCAGTGGAAATTTGGTGATTTCCTGGAGATCTTAAGAGCCTGCATCTGACATTTAGATGTACCTAAAGCTAATTTCTGAGCAGAAAAAGGACGATAACATGGAAAATAAATTGAATAGTGGCTGGATTGATGGAATAATGACTGGAGTCAGACATCAAGCAAACCATCAAAGGTGTCCTGGGCTTTGAGTCTGTGTATCTGTCTTTGGCTCTTACAGGAGGACCACGAATGAAAGATCTTTTTTTTAATCTTTTACAGTTTTTTTTCCCTGAATGTCAAGTTCTGCTCTGTGCTCTGGGACTATTTACAGCGGCTGTGAGTCAGGCTGATTTACACAACCTCTTTGAAAATGTGAGAGGGCTCACATGCGGTACACCTGAGCCCCCGGCCTCCAGTGAAGGGACTGTTGAAGCCAGAGGCTGTGATCGTTCCTTGTACAACCATCAAGGGGCCTATTCTGGTTAAATGTGGACCTTTGTTCCCTGCTCTCCCTCGGTGGATGGTGTCTCTCATCTACCTCTGCTGTTGACTCCTCCTCAGGCCACACACACACACACACACACATGCACACACGCACACACACACACCCACAGCTGTTGGACTTATAAACTTTGTCAGAGATGCTTTTCCCTGGAGATTGAGACTTAATCAGTTTTGTTTAGACACATACTGACAACTAAATAAAAGTAACACAAGACTAAAACGTGTTTTGAAACATTAGGTGCTAAATACTATATTAACACATTTAAACACTTTTTGAGTTTGTACCGTGAAAAAATTTTTTGTTTCATCTTATTACTTGTTATCTTTTCTTAAACACAATTTTTTTTTTCATTTAATAATGAAGTTGGCAAAGTTTTTAGTAAATTGTCAATTGATTGATCACAGTGACTTTATATATGTACATTTACATAATTTTCTCGTTACCTTCTGTTAGTGGCACAAAATGTTTCATGAGGCTCATTTATTTAGAGTTTTATTTAATTTATTTAATGTTTTGAATCATTCAGCTGTTTAATGGTCAGAAAAATAATTTGGTATAACTCTCTTTAAATAAAATATGTGACATTACAATATAAATGTTTTAATGCAGGTTTTTAAATGTAACTATTTCAGTGATAAAATACATTAAATACCATTCTATTGATTTCTCATCTACCATTTACAATGTTCACTTTAGTGAAATGTGAAGGTGTTCGTCTTACATGTAAAGTGCCTTGAGATAATGTATGTTACAATTTGTCGTTGTACAAATTAAATATAATTGAACTGAATATAACCGAAGCAATGACAATTAAATTGAGATGAGCGGCTGACATGAAAAACAATTTACAAAAGTCAAATTAACCTGTAGAGCTTTGTAAAAATAATAAAACACGTTGTCTTTACTCACCAGTGTTGGAATATTTGTCGTTCGTGCGATGCAGCGTCGTTAAACAGCAGTGGGTATTTCTGGGCTTCATTTATAACTTCTTGAGTGTCGTGGATTTGACGCTGACCAGGAGGGGAGGATCTCCTGGATTTTCTGATGCCATGGGAATAACGAGTCTCCCAGTTGAAGGCTGTTTGTCGAGATGCCTCTGTGGATCCTCGGCAGCAGCGTATTAAACAAAAGGGGGTCATATCTGTGCTACTGTTCTACTGAAGACTTGGATTGTGTGTCCTGGGTTTCCTATTTAAAGTGGATTCAGACGGCCTTGTGGGATGGTTATGGTGATGCTCTGGGTTTATATGTGTCTTCCTTACCCATCTCTTTCTCACTGGAGACGCTGACCCCAGCTACACTATAGAACAGTCTCCATGAGTAATTTTCTTTGTTTTATAGTAAACATTTTTCAATCCCTATGATGAAAAATGAAAGCCCCTTCATCTCACTCATGCATCTGGAGGAACTCACACTGGAGAATCCCTGCAAAGTGTACATCACTTAACAACTGCAGGTGGGAAGAGCTGTGTGGAGCCTGTGTGCCAGTATGTGTGGTCGCACACAGTGGTCGTGTTGGGATTGATTGTTTCACAGTGCAGGTTCGTGGAGCTTCTGTTTGGGCGAGTCAGACCGAATGTTTTCTGTTCCCATCTGACGACAAAGACAAAACCCACATTGATCTGTTGTCTTTCTGATGTGTAAATCACCAGAGAGAGAGAGAGAGAGAGAGAGAGAGAGAGAGAGAAAGAGAGACTCTCAATGTGGTTGCTTTATCTCTCTGTAGTGCAGGGGGCAGTAGCGGTCTGCTCTTCATGTTCAGCATTTGACGAGAACAGCAGGGTCTCTCTTGAAGGACTTTGGGGACGTGACGTGATATTTACTCGATATGAAATTCTCCAGGACCGTCTGAGATCTGTCCGGTTTACTTCACCTCCTTCCCACCAAATGGAACTTCTCACCGTTTCACACATGTATTTTGTTTTACATTAGAAGTTCTCCTATCAACAGGTTCTGAGCTTTGGACATCCTTGTCTCTGTGTAACAGCTACAGCTCTTTTCTCTTATTCTCCAGGTTTTCTCTCCATTTTCTTTAGACATTTCTCTTTATTTCCCTACATCCACTTCTATAAATTTTTTATTATACCAAATTAAAATATAAAGGCCTATAATGGAACATACATCTAACAGAGTTTGGAGTAAAACCTACATATCCAGGAATCAAACGAATGAGACAAAACGTATGAAACGTTATCTTGGAAAAATCTATGTCAATATAACATCATTAGGATTAAAGCAAGAAAACAATCTGTTTATATAAAAAAAGCACGACATATTCTGGGCTGCTTCAATGGTTCATATAATTGTAGCAGAGTTGAGTCACGTCTTACATAAACACGTAATGCTTTGCCCCCCCCCCCCCCCCTTTTCTCTGTCTCAGATATTCTCATGTTATAGCAGGAGGCAGTATCAGCCAGGGTGACACATTATCACA